CTCTTGTAAAGCAATCAAGAACAAGTAATTCAGCTGTAGTTTATGGCAGTGAGTAGGTAGTTCTGCGCGGGAGAGAATGTATTGTAACAGCCCAAGCCCAAGCCCAAGCCCACCACTAGCCGATATTGTTTTCTTTGGGCTTTCCCTTCCGGGCTTCCCTTAAAGTTTTAAAACGCGTCTACTAGAGAGCGGTTTCCACATCCTAATAAGAAATGTTTTGTTCCCCTCTCCATCTGACGTGGGATCTCACATGTATAAAGAAAGATTAAGGAGGTAGAAGATAGTGAAAGCTATCCAAGTGCATAAAAAGGTAGTGAAGCAAAAAATTGATATAACTAAACATGTTGATCAAGATCCTTTTGAACTAGAAGAAAAAAATTCTTGATAAGACCCTTTTGAACCGAGATCCGGTTGGCAAAACCGCGTTGATCTAGAAGTAGATTCAAGTAAATTCCCAAAAGGAGGCAGGGGATTGATGATTACCTGGTTACTGGATTATGAGAAGGAGCCCAAAGAACACATATAATCACCAAGAGAACAAAAGAATGCAAAATCCAGAAGGCTGGAATAATCCAAGCTCTGCGCCACAGCTCGCTTAACGGGTCGGTCGCATTGAAATAAAACTACAGAAACAAGAATCAGTAATTCTAACCATTGGACTTTATCTTTACAATTTGTCCTAGCAGTAGAGAAAAACGAAGTCACCTCATATCCAATCCAAGCTATAGAGAGCAACACCGAAACGGCAAGGCAATTGGTAAACTTCCGATAAAGCTCGAGTTTGGCCAAGCTTTTTCTAACCTATAAAGCATACATACAGAACAGAGAACTGAATAAGATCATCCTCCCAGCAGAAAAAAGGCTCAAACAAAGTAAATTTACCTGAAGCTTCTCCAGGGTTTTTGATAGAGAGGAAAAGATCCAAAGGATAAAGCAAGCATCCAATACAGCAACTGGCAACACCAGAAAGAACCTTGTTTTTCCAGATAAGTCATTAACATTTCCCAAATGCTCAACAACCTCAAGTGCTTCAGAAGCCAAGAAGTATGCAACACCCAGAAGGATAACTCTCGTGGTTATACCGCCGAGGATCGGTCTCACGACCCCATATTCCATTGAAACAACTAAAAGAAGCAGCCTAGAAACAGTCTTCTTAATAGCACTGAACGTAACTGCCAAAAGGGTTATTCCCATCGGTCGACTTCCAGAGGAATTAAAATTTGAATACTCAAAATACCAAAGGGCCATTTCACACATTCCTAAACCTATCACACAAGTGATATGGTAGTGCAATTGCATTACATCTTTCCAATATCTTACAAACCAGAGAAACCAGACAAGACCAAGAATAAGGTAAGACAAAGACATAAAGCCAAAGAATGTTACCATTGGAGCCATCTTTCCTGGTAAATAACCATCTGGGTTTCTCCAAACTGTTCTTCCACTGATCAATGTACCTTGGAGTTGTGGATCACAAAACATAAAATACAGATAATACATTCCAGTTTTATTGAGTTCAATTGTAATAGGCTCCATATTAGCTTCTTCACTTATCCCTTCAAAGAAAGTTTGAATTCTCCTTGGTCCATTAGGGTCATATGAATCCTGCTTAATAATAACCTCTCCTAACTTGCAAGATCCATTATTAGCAAGCTTCTGGGTGCAGCATATGAGATCAGAATTCAGAAATGCCCCTCCAATTTTTTTCCTGTCTTTGACTTCCACAATTATAGCTTCAATTAACCCAGTTTTTTGCTGCATCTCATTCTTTTGTTCTGCAGATTCTTTGGTTCGTCTAAATGTAATCGATTCAAACCTACATTACCCACAAACAATAACTAATCTAAATTCTTTGGTACACCTCCATCACATGCAGAAACACACATGAACTGGAAACTTAAAACGATCGATTTCAACCAATCATCAAATAACATTTTGAGGAAATAAACCAACCCTAATGGAGCGAACTTGATCAAATGAAAGAACAGTAGCGAAAATCGGGAAACAAAAAAGAATGACTCGAGATATACAAGGTTCGATTAATTTACCTGATGAAAGTCATTCCATGGAGTGATTGGTCTGCATAATCGGTGAAATTGGAGGAAGGAGGGTGGAAATTAGAAGCATAAAGACCTTCACTACCGCCATGGAAGAAGAATGAATTGGAACGATGGATGAAGGATTCGTTTTGGTATTGATGAATGGAAGCAGCCAGTTGAGAAATTGAAGAAGAGCTCAGAAAGGCAAGCGCAAAGATGATCCGAATGTAGCCATTGGAGAAAGCAATCAAATCCAAAAGCTCCCTTCTCATTGTTCTGTGATACTCGTCTCGTTCTTCGGAAGAACAACCATAGAAAATAGTTCTCTTTCTATGCTCAAATGTTAACACATTCAGGATTATTCTAAACCTTATTCCAATCTTCCCCAAATTACAAGTTTCGTCCAATTTGACCTTTTTTTTTTTAATTTTTATTTTATCTATTTTTATTTAAAGTATATGATAATTCCATTGATTATCAATTACGTGTCTAATTTATAAATTTTTTAAAAACACTTAAAAAAGACTAAATTTATAATTTAATTGATTTAAATTTTAAGAATATTTTCTGTTTCATAAAAAAATATTTAAATTAATAATTGAGCTGGTTTTATTTTCAAACTAATTTATTGTTATTAATATTTATATTCAAATCAAGATTAATATATGAAATTTCTTTTTAATATATAACGTGTATTCATAAAAGGAATTTACAAATATATCAACGTTCTTATGGATATTTCAATTCTTGATAGTGTGACAGCAATAAAGATATTGTGTTCTTAGTCTAATATTAAATTTTAGTCAAAGTACAGACATTTTTGTATGCCGATGAATTTCTAACTTGTCATAATAAGTTTATCGATATTTCCTTTATATAAAAAAAAAATTGACAAAATATAAAAATATCAAACACACAACAATGAACAAACTTCTTTTTAGGAAATATTAAGGATTTGATGAATAGATAACTCATGTACAAAGTATCTCGCTTTTTTTTTTTTTTTACCATTTTGGACCAAGGGTGGTGGCTACGCCATACTGAACCATTCTCGAGCTTAACTTCAATAACCATTCAAAATCGCCCATATCCTATAAGCGATGATTAAATAGTCAGATCAATTATGATTTTTTTTCCCTCCTTTGAATTGTTAGGCCCTAAAACTGTATTAAATATTAATACAATTGAAACTAGTTCAAAAAAAGATAAAAAAAATAAAGAAAAAAAAGAAAAGGAAAGTTGAACAGACCAAATGGCCCAATTGATCCAACATAATTAAGAATGAGATAGAAAATAAAATTGGGAAGGTCTGTATTATCATTGATATTGATATCCTAAATAGGATACAAGCCAGTAGAAAATATAAAATAATTAAATACTAGAATAAAATAAAATATACTATAAATCTAACCATAAATGAAAGAATATTAAGATAAATATCTAAGATATATTCCATAAATAATATATCTCAACAATAATCAATCAGTCTCAGTTAGTTAAACCGTCACTCGTCTTCTCCCTCATGCACATGTTACTTTCATTCCTTTCGAATTTCTTTTAATCATGTCATCTATTTGAAGAATAATATATATATATATATATATATAATTAATTAATTAATTAATTAATTAATTAATTATAAGTCAATTCTCACCCAAATTTCTCAATAAAGAGGTGGTATCATACCATTATATAAAAAATAAAAATAAAATAATGAAAGTTTATGTTTAAATTGAATAATAGGATGTCACCTTGAGGATGGTCCCTGTGAATGTTTGCTGAATCACCATACCTAAATGGGGTGAGAGTTCTCTAATTTATAATCATTTTCAGGATACAGAAATATGGTAAATTACAAATATTATGAAAATAGTAATAAAAGGAAATAATAATAAATGAATGCAATATATTTGCAAGAGGGCAAATATGGTAACCCGTAATGTAAGGCAAATATCTAGATATTTACCTTATAGTGAACGGTCAACTATCCTTAACAGTCCCCACACGTTTAAAGTCACATACCACAAGAATTGCAGTCTATTCCTCCTCCGCCGGGTGGATTTCGACGGAGTTCGTCGGTTCAGCAAGTGGGTCGGCCTCCGGTGGCAGAAGCGGCTATCCACCGCAGTACGGTACGGTCAAGACGTCGCCGACCGGTAAATGGGCAATACCGGCGGTAGGAAATAATTTGGACTCTATTTTCGGCGCTTTATGTGGCGGCAATCACCAACACAAGTGGGAGGAAGACGACAAGAAGAATTAGTACAATTATTTTTCAATCTTTCTTCAATTTACACTTTTGGTCCCCGAACATTCGCATATTTGTCTATTATTCTTCAAAAAGGTTTTCAATTAGGTCCATAATTTACCCATATTTCTATTACCTTTATACTTTACCCTTTTTTAGTACCGGAATTTCAAAATCATTAACAAATTTAATATTTCAATTTCTAAATCTAACCAAATTTACCAAATTACCACCGCGCATCACTAGTCATCGTGGCCGCCGTTCACCGGAGAACGAGTGCAACCGTGGTGCCGGTTCGCACGTAAAGAAGAGGGCTAATCAAATCTAACTGGTTCAAGCCCATTTTGCATGGTCCAATTCCCAATCGGTTTAGTCCGGTTCACGACATTCCATACTGACTCAGTGCATCTTCGGTTCAATTTAGTACATTGTAGCTTGGTTCAACGCATTTTAGGTCTACTGCTATGCTATCTCAATTGGTTTTTTTCACTGCTTTAGTTCCATTTAGTGTGTGGATTTGAGTCGATCTTTTAAGCCTAGATTGTACGAAAAGTTGGTCGGGATTAAACCAAAAACGTCTTAGATAACAGAAGTTTAGAACCGTTGGAATTCGTTAATTGGGTAAGATCTTACATATTATTTATATTGAATCGTGTATTTATATATTAAGAACAGGATCGATACATATGAAAATGGTGTATCCAACGTGAGAATATATTAAAAGAAAATAATTACTACACATAAATTAAGGTATGATCTACATCAATATCCATCATCTCTAGGATGTTATTTCAATCCTATTGTATACAATAATAAACAAAAATTATTTTAAGAAACTGTCAACAAAAAAGTAAGGATCTTCATTGTCTCCAAACAAACCATATTGAGTTTCAAAATCATTGAACTCCGGCCACAGATGTATCTCATTCATCGTCGTCTCTCCGACCTTTGTTGCATCGTCGTCGGTGCCCTCCGTAAATTGACCGTTGTGGGAATCGGAGAAGCATATGAGGTTGTAAGAATTAGAAGAGGTGTCGGCGGTCGGAGAAGCAGGGACACACGTGTGGTCGGAGATGTAGGTGATCTCGTACATTATTTTTGAACTGTCCTCGATTCTCTGCACGTGCTTTACGGCCGGACAGCTTTGGTCGTACTTGTGAGTGCACCTGTAATAGCTCCTGTTGTTGATTCATTCAAAGCTGTTAATTTTTGAATCGGTAAAACAAAAAGGTTAAAACTATTAATTTTACTTTTAACTTTGGGAAAGAGATAAAATAACCAAATTTTTAAACCTCGAGATAATTGAAAAGAGGAAAGTTGGTGTACGGAAAAAGAAAAAGAGATATATATTTACTTTGGATAGGTCTTGTTCTGGATAGCCTTTTGACCGTACTTCCTCCAAGCACGGCCGTCTTCCGCCGTCGCCGCCGTCACAGTCCTCGTGTTAGCCAGTTTCCTGCAATTCTCCGATCAACCCATTAGATCCCACTAAATTTTGCATACAAAAACTAATCTCTTTCCATTTCAAGGCACAAAATTTAGTTAAAACGAACCTTCTTTTGTTGCCACGTCCTAGATCCTTAACCGCCGGGCTTCGCCGTGAGTAGCCGGAATCCAGATCGGAGCATAGTGAATGATCCGGACAGCTGGCGGACTCGGAGGAGACGACAAGGGAGATCACTTCAGCGAAGGAACTCTCGACCTCGTCGGCAAGAGCTAGCCTGTTGAGCCCCGTCGCCGCCGCCGCTGACTGGAGATCAATCTGAAGCTGAGCTGCAGATTGTCGGCCGCGACGAAGAATCTCTATAATCCTCCTCCATGCCTCCGCCGTCAATCTGTGGTGACGATAACCGGTGGCCTCCATGTTTACTTCCCTCACGATTTGGTTCTCTCGGATTTTTTGATGTAAATGATACCAAGAAAAATGGCGATGAGATTTTGAAAGAGTGACTGATATTATATATATATATATACCCACACAATAAATAAATAAATAAATTATTAAATTATAAGTGGATAAAGGTAATCTAGATTTATCCAATTTTTTTAAATTTCTAAATAATTCATTGTGTTGAGCTAATTTATCAATTTTCCTTTTCAATTTACTATATATTTTTTTAAAAAAATTAATAACTTACTAAATACAAAATTAGATAAATTTTAAAATAAAAAAATTAAAAGTTTGATAATTTATTAAATATTTTAATTTTAAATTATGTTTATAAATTGAAAAAATGAAGAGGAGAAAGAAGTATTATATAAAAGAAAATTAAAACTTTTAAAATTTTATTAAATAATTAAAACTATAGGTTAAATAAATATTTTTAATTTATTAATTATTTAAAGAAAATGAGAAAAAAGAAAAGAAAAAGGAGAATAAGTAATGTAGGGAAGGGGGAAGGTGTGTGGAAGAAACTTGGGGAGAAAGGCGAGGGTGTGGTGACGTAACTCGATGACGTAGGATAGGTGACGTCACTTGATGCTTGGTAGTGGAAGAGGCTGCCATTAATATTTTCCAAAAGCAATTACCGGCTTACAGCTGTTTTTTTTTTTTTTTAATATAATTTTATTATTTTATTTCGGGGCGAAGTTGAATACTTGGAAATATAATTTTCGGACTTATGACTCTTATTTTGTTTTTTTAATTAAATTATTAGTTTCTTTTAGAATTTTTAAAATCGTGTCGGTATAGATAAAGTCTTTAAGCTTTTTAACATTACGTTTACCCTTTGATATTTTGCAAGCGCACGGCACCAAGTTTTAACTACTTGTGTTCATACGATCAAATCACTCGAATAACTTAAACTATCTAATTCAAATCGTAAAAATTCAATTTGATTCTTGACTTTGAGTTTTTTTGGTCGATTCACAGTAAAATTATCGTAAAAATTAAAAAAAATTAAAATTGTCGTAAAAATTTTAAAAAAAAAATTGACTTTTCTACCAATATAATCCACTTGGGGTAAAAAACACGAAAAAATTTCCCTTTTTATTTGCAAACAAATTAGACAAATTAAAAAATTACAAAAAAAACGTTACAGTCAAAGAGGCGGCCAAATAATTTAATAACAAAAAACTAAAAAGGAAAAATATATATTATTTTTTAAAAAGTATTATTTTATTTTTATTATATTATAATACTAAATAAACCCTTGCGTTTGGATTGGCCAAAGCGTCTGAATTGACACAACGTTGTCCCACTCGATTTATTTATTTTGTTTTTAGAAAGAAAAAAATATAATATAATATCTGTCAGTATAACTGTACTATCACTAATTAATTAATTAATTATATTATTAAAAAGCGTTTTACCCCAATTAATGTCACCATCTCATTTAATAACATGCTTAGAGCTGAATATCCAAAATTAATTAATCTTATAAAAAAAAATCTTTTTTTTTTCTATATATTATGAAATAAAAGTATAAGATTAAAAAAAGTCCACGAACAGTTTTTTTAAAATTTTAAATTAATTTTCTTTTACTTAAATTCAATTTGATTTTCTATAATTTAAATAAATATATTGGATTTATCGAATATTAAAAGTTTTTGTATAGGTCATGTTTCTTTCGAATACTACTTTTTTCTTGTAGGACGGCCGTGGAGCGTGAATTTTGGATATTTTAAAATATTAAACAAAATCATAAAAATAAAAACTATATTTTTTAAATCACAAAAAATAAAATGAAAATGATTATTTAATCGTAGTTATATAGCAAAATTAGTCATAACGTGCCAGAGACAAATAATAGGAGCTAGCCTGTCTTTTTATACATATGAGTAGGATAAAAATTCGAATAAGTACAATCTCGATAACGAGATGAAGCTAAACTGTGCAAAGCAAAACAAAGACTTCAAACCCGTAGAATGGAATTGAGGATAAGTTCAAACCCTTTGACTATTTTGATTCATGTACTTTCAATTTTGGTTAATTTCGATCATTGTACTATTAAAATGAATTTTGGTCGGTGTACTCTTAAAAAAGTTTAAATTTTTATCTCATAATTTTCATAGTTATCAAAATTCATTCAAATTTGTGTTGAAGGGTTATATAAAATTTATGTTAAAAATTTGTAAATATGGGCAAAATGGTCATTTTCAAAAAACAATACTGTTAAAATGAGCGAGTTAAAAGTACAGAGGCTAAAATAAATAAAAAAAATATTTTAAATTTTGTTAAAAATGTTTTAAAATAAATTGAATGGTTAAGTAAAAATTGTCTATCTAGATGAAAAATAAGAGAGTCATACGTCGAAATAGACGACATGATATTGGAGGCGGCAGCTTGTAGTGTGGTATAAACATGTAATTACGTAATACTAGTGACGTTGGGAAGCTTGACGACACATGGCTGACAAGATGGTGAATGCTCTATAGCACTTTTTTAAGGCTCCAAAACGCTTGATATCACCAAGGTGAGTGGCTGTGGTGGCGGTGACCAAAGTCGCAAATGGCGGCCCAATCTTCATCGATGATCATCGACCATTCAAGCATTAAAAAATTGTGTGCCCAACCATTTTGTCGATTTCAGCTAGTGGCATCAATTAGGAAATATGATTATCTTTCCATTCTTGTAGCGTACGATATTGACGTTGAGGGTTATTGGGAGTGAATCCTACGTTGATTAATTTAGTGGAAGATCATGGTTTATAAGTGAGGAATATTACCTCCATTCCTTTGGTATGACGCCTTTTGGGGAAACAAAAAACAAAGTCATGTGAGCTTATACTCAAAGCGGACAATATCATACCATTGTGTAGAGTACAAGATTGTGTCTCGATAATCTTTTCCTTACAGCTTTGATTTTAGGTCGTTTGTGCTCTAAGAGGATGTAGACTTGAGATTTGAATACTCAGCCTGTTAGTTGTACAAGTTAGATTTGATTTAGAGGGTTGAAAAAGATTATTCCTCTTGAAGGTGTCTATTTTAGAAAAGAAAATGTATTATTCATTCAAAAGAATAAAGATAAAGGAAAAGGAAATATTTAGATATGTTTTTTTCTTCTTCTTTATTCTTTGGTGTTTCATAGGAAATTGTCTGGACGGCTTCGCATATGTCCTTGAGTACTATGTTGTTTTGTCTCGAAATTGAATCTTCAACTTTAATGGGTGTTTTGAAGTTTTTAGTTCGATAAAGAGTTTTTTTTATATTCAAAGTCTTCAAGTCTTTTTTTAGAGTTTTCTCTAAATTTTAAATTTTCGTTATTTATAGAGCTTTTAAGTATCGTGCACGTTTGAACTGTTTTTATCTTCGAACCTAACTCTTTGGAGTTGGACTTTGTTAGCTTTGAATTTAAAGCTTTAAGTTTTACGTTTGTTGGATTTAGATTTTAACTTTTTCGATTTGGGATTTGATGAAAATTGTCATTGAATAAGATTTTTGGATCTCCACTTTCTATTTGACCCATTTTAACCAGATTAGGTTTACTTGTTCAAATAATCCATCGAAAAGACGAGTCATGAGTCGTTGATGAATTAGGATTGATCTAATCGTAATTGGACATCACGAGCTGATATGGACTTGGGAGATTGAATTAGAATTAGGTTGATAGGTTCGTTAGCTTATCCTTAACCATGGATCATCAAGATGGGTCGTCATAGCATTCCACTTATGCATGTTATGGATGATGTGATGTGATGACAATTAAAAGTTTGCTAGTTTATCATTATAATTACGGACCGTCAAGACGAGGCTCACCTTGGTATTGAATGATGACATGATAGATGAGTCTCAAAGGGCTAGATTATGATGAACGAAGATGAGCTCCATCAGTTGCAAGGTGCAATTGAATAGTGAAGAGCTAACTGTATCATCCTAGGACTCAAGCTAACCCTAATTTGCAGATAGAGGACGAATGGAATTTTTTAAATTATTTTTTCGTCCCATATAAAATTGTAGCCAGTTAAAATGTTATTATTTATGATATTAGGATGGTCTAAAAAAAAATTGAAAATAAGTATAAATATGTAAAATTTTAAAATTTATATATTGAGGGGGGTATTAATCCAGATAAAATTAATAATTTTGAAAATAATTAGAAATAAAATGACGTGGAAATTTTCAAAGATTTAGAAAAAAGAAAAAGGTAAATTTGATTAAAAAAATTATTGGGGACTCTAAATTGGGCTATTCTGAATGGGTTTGTCACTTTATTGGGCTTGGTTTCTGGGCCGAAGTAATTTGGGCTTTTGTTTCCAATTTAAAAGCCCAATGTTAAAAGAGAGGGCGAAGGCGGCAAACGGCTCGTTGTGCCATAGCCTCCATGCTCAGATATAGAGCTCCTCCATTGCTAGCCCTGGGAATGGTATCGCCATTGCTCACTTCTTCTTCTTCTTCTTCCTCCTCCTTTTCTTCAAACCCTAATCTCATTACCTTCAATCCTTCCTTCCTTGTTCTGAAACCGTCCCCTACTCTACCTTCGCTTCTCTCTTCTTTCCATCAGAAGCCCACTCGGAGCATGACTCATTCCAAATGCTTCTCTGGGCCATCCCCCGCCGTTCCCATTCCTACTGCCTGTGAAGCGCAGGAGGTGGATTCAGTGTCTCTTGTTGTTGTGTCCTTCTATAAGTTCGCTGATTTTCCTGACCATGCGGAATTTCGGTCGCCATTGAAGAAGCTCTGCCAGGAACTGGTACTTGTTTTGTCTTGTCTTGTGTTTTGATTGAAGTTTGTTTTTGTTCTGATTTGGTTTGTTTCTTGGTTGGAATTGTATATGGTTTGGTTGAGTATGGGGGCAGGAAATGATATTGGGGTTTTCGTAAGTGATTTGTGGTCTGGGAGGGGAAGTGTTAGTTTTGTGAAGTGATAGATTTGGAATTCGGGTGAATTGATGATTCTGTACATTAATGAAAGAAGATGAGAAAGGAAAGAGAAAAGCTCAAGTAGCAGAAGTGAAAAGCTTAATGAAATAAAGCTTGCACAAAAGTACTCTGGAAGAATGAAGAGACCAACTGTGATCATGTAAACTCCAGACATGGACTTAGGTTCGAAATTAATGATAGAAGGGAAGTTAAATCTTCCACTCTTTACTGGTAAGGAAAGAGCTCCCTTTTGAAATAAAATAGAAGAGAACCACCCTTCAAAGCTGGAAAAGACTGAGGCTATAGATACCCTTTGAAAATGGCGGTGTTCTGCCGTGGTTGTCCCAAACTTTAATTGATTGTAAATAATCAACCATTTCTTAGCTGCAATAGATGAAGAAAGATTTTAAATTGATTTATTCATTATTCTTTCGCAAGAACATATATGTACTAGCTGGATATGTTTAATACGTACGCTAGTAAGAGCTGGTAGTGATTTGAAAACATAAAGAACTCCTGTCATTTTGTTAAGTTGAAATATGACCTTAAGTTTCTTCTTGTTCTTGTTCTTGTTCTTTTTACTTTTTTTTCCTCCGTACAAGTAATGAAGGGAATACAAATTAGCTACTGACTAAATCAATATGGAAACAACTATTGTTCTCTTTTCCAGTTTCTAGACTTCATTTGTTATTATAAATTTATACCCCTTTTGCTGCTCTGTTTGGATTATGTTACTAAACTAATATTGCTCAGCGTGTTTCAGGAGGTATCATTCTTGCACCTGAAGGAATTAATGGGAGCATTTGTGGATCTCGAGAATCTGTACAAAGGGTTCTTGGATTCATTGAAAGTGATGAACGCCTAAAAGGACTAAGGCAGGTGGAAACACCTGTTAGTCCTGAAGAAGAAGCCATTCATCATGGACATTCGAGCGGTTCCCCTCTTGCAGCAGGGGAAGATGCACCCTTCCGTTGGGACCATGTCAGGGTCAAATTAAAGAAAGAGGTAATCAAATTAATTTATTTTCTATATTTTCATAAGAATGTGGGAATTGGAATGTAGGTTGAAACAATGATTAAAATGTTGTCGATACATCAATTTATCCATAAATTGGAGGGTTCAACATCAATATCAAAGTTTGATAGATATCTCCGTTATCTTGTATCAATACCCATGAAATATAGAAAAAAATATCCTCTAGTCACCAATATAAATGTAGATACGCTAATTAGATCTATAACTGATTTAGAGAGTGAAAAGAACTTAAATTATTAATTATTTGATTTACGGCAATATATGTTGATATCTATATTTCATTGATATTGATATATCCATAGAATTGAAACTTCGATATGATATCGATATTTTAATTCTTGGGTAGAATTAAGGCATGGATTGGTTTTTTTTATTCTTTGATTTTTATTCCTTTATTGATGCTTTCGTCCCCATGCTGCTTCTGTTTTCTCAGATTGTTACTCTTGGAATGCCTGATGTATCACCTGTTGAAAGGGCTGGACAATATGTGAAACCAAGGGACTGGAATGCACTGATTAGTGACCCAGATACTGTTAGTAACTTGTCTTAATTTTAATTACGCTGTTTGGTTGCCATTGGCTTCTGTCGGATTCGTGTTTCTGCACTTATTTTGATTATTGATTATTTATTAAACTTCAAGTGTATTCCCACGATTGGAACGGCATTTGGTTGGTTAAACGAGCATATATATTGTCATCGTGTCTGGCTGAGCATACAGAGATTTTGGACTTTGTCTCGTTGAAGGGCATAAGGGAACCATGCTAAATAATTAAATGTTAATGTAGGTGGTTATTGATGTGCGCAATCACTACGAAACAAGGATTGGAAAGTTTAAAAGAGCAGTTGATCCCTGTACTCCAGCATTTCGAGACTTTCCATTTTGGGTAGAGGATAAATTCCAACTTCCTAAATCAGATTGCGAGCATTCAAATGAAGAAGTTGAAGGAAAAACAGTAAACCCTGAACAGAACTCGCCTCCACGAGTTGCCATGTACTGCACGGGAGGAATCCGTTGTGAGAAAGCTTCAAGTTATCTCCTCAGCAAAGGCTTTAAAGAGGTGATGCTTGTTGATTTCTATATAACATGATTTGCTTCTGAATAAAATTTGGGCATGACGCCTTTATGATTGCCACACTTCATAAGAGCTCTCAAAGAACTCCTTGGATAATCGCTGCCTTGAAAAATCACAAACTTTTCAGAAAGAGTTGTATGCATTTAAATCTGGAAAATGTTTAATCAAACCGTTTTTCCACGCCACCCGAACTGCATTCTCTCATGAACTTTTCTGGCCTATGTACTATTAATCTGAGGCATTATCTTATCTGAATCTTTTTTAAGGTTTATCATTTGGAGGGTGGAATTCTGAAATATCTGGAGGAAGTTCCAAAGACAGAGAGCTTATGGGAGGGAGAATGCTTTGTATTTGACAAGCGTGTCTCGGTTGAGCACGGTCTGGAACAGGGCACGTTCAAGCTTTGTTATGGGTGCAAGCAACCGGTGAGTGATGCCGACATGGAATCTCCTCAGTGGGAGTATGGAGTTTCTTGTCCTCACTGTTACTCAACGAAATCTGAAGAAGAGAAAGAGAGGGCAAGAGCTCGGCAAAGGCAATTCGAGACATGGGGCATCATCGGTGGTCCGGACAAAGGCCGGCGACCAAAACAGAGTGATAAAAATGCTACTCTTCCAAATTCAATTTGATCGCTTGTTTCTTCAGGGTGTCTTATTTTCCATTTTTGTATTACAGACTACACAGGAAAGATCAAAATATCCTTCTCCACCTTGGCTATTCTATCGTGTGTACAATATTCGTTTTTGTTGATCATGACACTTGTGAAATTTCGGGACTTTAGTCTCTATCTATTAAATGAACGATACATCTAAGCTTTGGAGACTCTTTATCTGTCACTCTGTTTTGAAGACACGTTTGCAACGAAGGAAACCGTGAAGTGGCGAGAACATACAAAGATTCATGTCATTTAGATCGGTACATGTATGGCTCCTTTTGAGCTAAGTAAGAGATACAGAAACATAAAAGAAATGATGACAGGTGAGAAGGGTTTGTTGAAGTTCTTCAGCCCAAAGCTCCGGAACCGCCTGCATCCCATCAACATCGAAGCTGCTGTGCTATGGAGTGTTGCAGGCACAGCCACTGCCCTTTGGCTTGTACAGGTATTGGTCTTAAACTTCACCGACTCTTCTACCAGCATTCTGTTTGTTCATGATCATTACTACTTTTATTCTCTGCTTGAAACTGAAAAACTTGCAGCCATTTGACTGGTTGAAGAAGAAGATTTGGGAGGTGGAGGAAAAAGCAGAAGACAAGGTGCAAAGTGATGAATAAGATAGAAAGTGTTACAAAGGACTGTAATACCTCTGATGTCAAGTAAGTTGGTAACTCTAATAAGACTTGATATGATATGAAAAATGTTCATCCTTCTTCTTCTTCTTCTTGTTTTCCTCTCTTTTTATTGGGATGAACCATCAAGATTCAAGCCTGGTGGGGGATCAGGAGCAGCATCAGAATGTTGCTTGAGAGCTTGAAACACTTCAGAACTGGTACTGAAAATCTTAGCCCTCCTATTATAATCTGTAGGCTCTCTACCTTCATCTTCCCCCATAATGGCTTCTCTTTCCAAACATTCAAGCAGCTCCACCACTCCCTTCCCCCCTCCGCCACACTTCTCCTCCAACCTCCCTAGCTTCAGCCACTCTTCTATCTCCGGCTCCGCCACAGAGCCCCCCCAACCACCCTGACTAACACATCTTGGCGCTGCCGCCGCAACCCGACGGCAGAGCCATGATGGGGAAATGGCTGAAATTGGCCTGAGCTTGTGGAAGACGACGGTGGAGGAGCGGTGGAAGAAGGGTGGCGAGGGTGGTGGTGTTATGAGAGATGCAGAGACGACTTGCATGGTCGGTTTGGTGGGGGTGTTGATAAAATGATGGGCTTTTCAGTAATGGGCAGAGATTTTGGGAGAGAGGAGAGTATGTATTATAGAAAATTTCCAGAGTAAGAGAGGCACCGCCCCTGGCCAACGTTTGGGCGCCCACGTGGCAGTCCCTCCAATGGCACGTGGTCACGTGATCTCTCTTTATCATCAATATCTTTAACATTTTAGTTCAAATATGAATATAATATTGGTGATAATATATTTTTTAAAAAAATATTTAATTATCTTTTATTTACCTTTTTATAGAATTAAGACAACAAATAATAATATAATATTGATGAATTTTATTCTGGATTACATCTCTATAATACTTTCTATTATTTGAAAAAAATTATGCGATTGAAAGTGAAAAATGAGTTTTTGAATCTAATTGAATCCTTCATTATCCAATAAGTAAAAAGTTTATTTTTTATTTTTGGTCTCTTTTCAAAACACGCAAGGACTTAATGGTCTTTCTAAGACGTTTGGGTCGATTTTAAGTGTAACTTGAACTCGTACAAAATTAAATATCAATGGTATCGACCATAAAATATCAAGGTTGTGAGGGTAAAAAGGACTTTACAATCATTATCAGAGTCAGGATTCAACAACATTTTTTAATTTATGGCTACAAGTTATAGTGTCCTTTAGAATTTTATTTATATGTGTGCAATTCTCAACCGACTTTAGATGACGTGCTTGATTGACATTTGAGTTGCTAAGATACAATTAGTGTATCCAATCTGTGATATAAGTCAGAATATGTTGCCAACACAAAAGGAAAAGGTTAGGTAAAAATGTATTCTTTACTCTACTAGTGCATTCTTGAATATGCTCGTAAATTCTAAATTTTGGTTAGCACTAGAATTTTCTCTAACTTGCTTAAAATTTGATGGATTCCTTTGCTAATAATGCATTAAATAAGTCATCAAAAAAATTAATGACTATACAATTATTGAACTAAAAAATTAATGACTCTACAATCCCATCTAACAATTATTATAGATAATCTTATTAAATAATCCTTTCTACCACTTAACCATCATTTGACATGCACGTAGAAAAAGACATTACAATCCTGTGATGCAAAGTGGTGGCAAAATCAAGTAATAAATGCGCTTACATCATAGAAAAAAAAAAAAATCTAAGTTTTAAATGATGTGGTTACGTGTTTAATTATATATATATATATATATAAATGATCAAATCTTAGGTGATCCTTGACGTTTTGAAATTGAATAGTTCTCACATGGCTACAAAAATCAACATAATTTTAGGACAATGTCAATTGCACTTCATTATTGTCCTTTTAAGATATCACACAAAAGGCTAAAGATGACATGCTTGATACACGTTGTAACAATATTAGAAGTTAATGCAATTCTACTAATAGAAGTAAGAGAGATATTATTTGGAGATAAGTTTATAAATAGAATCGTGTCTTTAATAATTTCATATTTTACTGTTATGAATTCAATTTATATTAATTATGATTTTTTAAAAAATATTGGATGATCTCTATTGAAAATATAAAATCAATCGAACACATTCTTGTTTCCTCTTGGTCTTAATATTTCATTATTCAAAAGTATGGGCAATCTGCAAGAGAAACTGTATGGTTGTATGTATCATGTATGCACTAAAGACTGATGTGTTCGATGATACCTGGATTGTGTAGCTGAAGTTTATTAACTCTGTACGCTATGAACACAAATATCTGAGATTAAGGCAGCCGCCATTGATGATGGAGCAGATGGGCTAATATTCCATCATCAAGTTCATCTGAAACCGTCTCTGTACTTGTTTCTTCTGTTTGAAACGATGGAAATCCTCTGATCCTGAAGCATGTTCATATTCGGGGCCAGCAACCGGGTGTAACGGTCGAAATACAGGAGTTGCTTCATGAGAAGCGCGAACTCTCGGGGAAATCTTAGTCCATATGATTCACTGACCCGGAGCTGTAGTATATGTATGGAAAATACCATCATTTGGGTTGAAAAAACATGACAAGACGATGCTAGTAAGACTTACCACATCAAGGAAGAGTTTGTTCATTTGCCTCTCGTCTACAACTATATTCGCAGCAACGGCGGTTGAACCACTCCTTCCTTCCCTGCCTGTTGCTATCACTATTTCAGTATCCAAATCCTGCATTCATAAAATGAGAACAATCTGATTCAGATATTTATGTTTATTTCTATTCATAAACGATGACAAAACAGGCTAAAGATCCTTGTTTGTGAAAAAAGAAAAGATGTTACTACCGTTTAATGCCCTTCCAGACAACAAGAATTTCATCAATATTAGCAAATTATAAGCTAGTAATATCAAAATAAAAATAAGTATTACATCAGTCTTCTATTAATAAGCTAGTAGTATAAAAATTCAAAGGTTAAAATATCGAGTTTGAAAACTAATGAACCAAAATCCTACCAAATTAAAACCTCAAGAACTAAAAGGGTAATTTTTTTTTTCTAAATTATAACCCTAAACCCTAAATTATATAATAAAATCCTACTAAAAGAGCTACCAATTGGCAGAGATAGACCAGTGAAAAGAATTTAAAAATTTTCAATCGATGCTTTAACTGAACTTTAAACACTTTCCTTTATTGAGGAAAATATATTTTCCAGATCTCTGGCAAAGGCCACAGAATTGACGTCATTGTTAGTGGCACCCATTTGGATGAGGGCTGATGCCATTGATTCATAATCTTCGGTTGAAATTGATGCCAAAAATACATCCATCGCAGCCCATGTTTCTGGCGATATACGTCCAACAATTCCTGTAAATATAATTTTGTTTTTACATGTCAGTAACAGTCGTCATTTATTTTGAAGCAAGGAATGTGGCTGACCATTCCAAATTCACAAACAGATGGCAATTGCAGTTTGTAAATAGCTGTTCAAGAAAAGAATATTGGAATTTTAAGGGTGGGTTTCTAAACAAAAGCTTTGAAAAAATGGAATCTCATGAAAGGTAATTAAAGGCCCTGACCAACGTTAGATAATTATTCCTGCAGGACATAACAAATAGAATTTCATCAAATGCACTGAAAAACATAAATGTCTAGTAGACTATTCTTCAACCATCATGTTAATTAAAGCTGATATGTTTATTGTGTGTGTGTTCTGTGGTTTCTTTCAAGTCACCCACAATACTGCTGAGAGAGCTTTAACCTAATAGGAGTTGTTCAATGGCTGGAATCATGGAAAGAGGATGACACCAACTAACGCTAGACTATTGTAGAAGAAGCCACAGGTGCAGAGTATCTAATACAGTGGAAGAACAGATGGTAGTTTCATTTCTCTAGATTCTTGGCAACAAATGAGGCATATGGAAGAGAGAACCTTTTAGAAACATTTTAAACAAAGTTCAATCTCTCCAAGGAGAGGCACCAAAAGGGGGAAACCTTTCTTTTAGGGAAGACTTTTGGTTCCAAATTATCTCATAAACATGTTGATTTAGGATGGAGCTCCTATCTTTCCTAAAAAAAACATATAAAAGTAACAGTTGTAGATGGCTAAATTGCAAAGGTCCTAACTTAATCTATCCTCACCCAGATTGGAACAGCTGATTTGAAAACAACGTAGCATCAAAAGTAATCACTGTCAGTATCATAGAGAGATCCAAAAAAATGTAATATGCCATTAACTATTTCCCACGACCCAACAATCCTCTACATTAGCAATTTCCACCAACCACTTTAAAAGCTACACAATGCATAAACTAAATACTAGAAGTTGAGTGCACATACCAAAATCAAGGAAACCAATACGGCCATCGCGTAATAACCATAAGTTGCCAGCATGAACATCTGCATGGAAGGTTTCACACGCAAGCAAACTACCAAACCTGCAGTGATGTTTTATATCAATTGTAAAATGCATCACACAAAATCAATAAAATTTGTCTGAAATCCAGGGAAAACAAACATTGTATCCTACCAGACATTAAGCGCAGTAATGAGACTGGCTTCTGGGCTGGGAACAAGTGAACTTATAGACTCTAGGTCCGTGAGAGGAACACCATATAGCCTTTGCATAGTTAAAACTCGTCTAGTACTGCAGTGGTGATATACCTTCGGAGCTGTAGCCTGCCTCGTGAGTCCCATGTCTTCCAAATATCTTCTGAAGGACTCAATATTATTAGCCTCCTTGTAAAAGTCGACCTCTTCAAGCATTGATTCTCTTATGTCCTTCACGATAGATACCTGAAGAAAATAAAAATTAAACTTCTTTGAGTATCATTTCTAGTGTATCCTCCAAACAGGAGCCTACTGAAAGGTAAAAATCAACATCTTGCGCACTTTTACACCACGTACTACACCAACCCATGGAAAAATAAAATTCTCCATGCATTGATTCTTTTATGCCATTCACAATAAAACTTAAAGGAAAGCAATCATATACACATTTAAAACTGAGCACTCTAATGATATTCTGTATCCAAAAAATAAGGGGAAAATCAATTTTTTCCCTTAATCTTGTCAAGTTGAATAAATTATCACCATAAGCTTTTGATTTCATCAAATTGGATTCTAATCTTAAAATTAATGTTGTGTGATCCTTGATAATTTGTGTGCAAAAAATGATAACTTCTATGGTAAAGGATAAATAAATAAAACGACAAGAAAGCTTAAATTGCGCTTTTTTTTTTCTTTTTTTTTTTTAATTACCCTTGTAAACTTCCAACTGCAAGAAATTACTTTGATAGCGTACCAGTGATGCACGGCTGAGTTCAGGATTCAAGAACTCCAATATGCGAGCAACAATATATACAAAATTTAGATCTGCTACCAGTATGTCCTCAATCCCTGGCTTTAAAACTTTAATAACCACATCATCTTGGGAGCCCCTAAGCCTTGCACCATGAACCTAGACATTAACTACAATGTTAAGTAAAAGATTAAGAAAATTTATTTAACGAATCAAGATAGTATGATATCCCTTTACCTGAGCTATTGAGGCTGAAGCAACCGGGATGGGGTCAATATATTCATAGACACTATCAATCGATCTCCCCAAATCATCTTGTATGATTCTCTTGATCTCTTCAAAGGGAATTGGAGGAGCTTGGTC